TGACGTGGGGAGATGGGAGAGCAAGCGCTGAGTCGTGTCACCTTCCCTCCTGCCCCCGGCTCTCAACCAGCCTCCCACTGAAGAGCAAGTTAGACTGGATGGCACCTTGCTCCTCCCTCCCGCCCTGCTTACCTCCAGCCCCAGCTGGAATCAATACCTGATGCTGAATTCAAGATCTTATCTGAGTTTTGCAAGGATAAAGCAACAAACTTTTCCCCAGTGATTAAATCCTTAGATGATCAGCCCAATATTTTTCAGCCCACCTCTAAGAACATTTAGAGAGCAAGTGAAATGACTCTGGACACTGGAAACCCACCATTTTCTCTGTCTCTCTGGACACAAAGAATCCCAGAGAAGGCCATGAAGTGAAGAGATGGAAGCTAAGAAAGGCCCCAGCTTCCTTAGTAGCTCAGCTCTCCGTCCAGCTGTAGGAACCAGATATGTGACTTTCCGAAACTCCACCCACCTTGGTTTATCCATCTGAAAAATGGATAAACTCTGTAGTCCAGCAAGAGAATAGATGTGGAGAAGGACTAATAAAGAGGAGGTGCTCAAGTGATTACGGAGGAGGGCATGGCACTCCGGTACTCTTGTCTGGAGAATCCCACAGAAGAGCCTGGCGGGCTACAGTCCACAGTCCATAGGATCACACAGAGTCGGACCCAACTGAACACTCGCAAGCAGGTGCTTAAGACTGCCGACTCCTCTGCTTTAAACCACCGATTAGCCTCATGTCTGTAGAGCGGTTAAGGGCGCTGGCTCAGGGTTGGACAGGCCGGGCTTATGTCTAGGCTCTGTATGGTCTAGTGTGTGGCTCTGGGTAGCTTCGTTCATAAAGATCCCACAGTGTGTGCCAAGTGCCTGGTTGAGGGGTGCTTAGAATGTGGCTCCTTCCGCTGGGAGTGTCAACACAACCTGGGTAACACAGAGCGCTGTGGCGTGTGCTCTGATGGGAGGCCGGAACCCCTATCAGGGATGAAGGCCATCCTCCCCGCTGCTGAACTGCGCTCCAGCTCCTGGTCCCCTCCGGGACGTCCTCAGTGCAAAGTCAAGAGGACACCTGCCTCCGGGGTCAGCTGCCTCCCAGGCCTGAGCAACATACAGGTGTGACTGGGGCAGCAGGGGGACCAGCGTCCCTTCAGAGGCCACAGGGCACCCCAGGTCACCATCTCCCTCCAGCCCCCGGCCCAGTCCCCGTGGAGATCAGCCTCCATGAACCCCCTGCCCCGTCTCAGGGACCCACACCTGCACCAACTGCTCCCTCTCCCCCAGTTAAAACAAGAAAGGGAGACAATCTGGGCCACGCTTCCGGTTAAAAGCTAAAAGCCAGAAGCACACTTCAGGCCCCAGGGCTCAGCAGTCCCAGTTCCTGTATTTTCCAGAGGCGGAGCCGGAGGGTTTGGAGAGGTTAAGAGAAGCGCCCCTGGCTAAACCCACGGGGCCCACAGGGGCTGGGAGGCGGTTCCATAAAGGATGAAGAGAGGAAGACTCCACGCTTCCGTGCAAATCAGATGCTGCGTGACCTTCCTGCTTCCAGCATGGAGGACGCATCTCCCCAGAGGGCTCACTGTTTGCTGTTCCCTGGACCCTTTCCCAGGGCACCACTGTGGTCCAAGGGCGGATGTACAAGGGGAAGGGACACAGGCTGGCGCCTCCGTGAACAGGAGGAGTAGACTGCCGCGCCACACTGAGGGCCGCCCGTGTGCCTACGGGGTCTGCGGGCGAGAGGGTAGGTGATGGCCACCGTGGGGTCAGGAGGGGAAGTTCTGCCCAACCCCTGGCTCCTAATGGCAAGCGCGGCCTGACTCCCAGAAGGCCAGGCCCCAGGCCAGTGCCCTGAAGCTTTTCCTGCACGGCAGTGGTCACAGTTCAAGGGCACACAGGTGGTTTTCAAAACGCCTGGGGCGGAGGACACGTCACCGCTCAGGCCGCCCAGCAGAGCTGGGTCAGAGGCTGACGGGCAGCACTGAACAAGTGCCCTGACACCACGGAGGGGTTAATGGTCTGCGCCTCTTTCAGCGGCGAGCTGGCAGCAGCGCCAGCCAGAGAGGTGTCCTCAACTTCTGCTGGGGCAGCACTTTCCTCGTGATAAGATAATGGAAAGCAGGAAGCTGAAGAGGTGAAGGGAAGGTTGGGGCAAGGTGGCTGCAGGAGGGTTTTATTTTCTTGCGCTTATCACCCAATTCCAAACGCGCATTCCATCAGGCCAGGGCCGTGGGGCCCGCCTGCTCCACATGTATGTGACTAGAGCTTCTGCTGTGATACGTTCTTATATTTTTGAGAACATTCTTTCCTCCCCTAACGCTCTGAACCAGTGAAGTTATTACCCCAGCTTTGGCCCCCAGTCCAGAGGGAAGCTCTTTCTCAGCTGGAGGGGCTGGAAAGCATGGACAGCCCGAAGCCCCGGCTCACACGGGAAGAACAGCGGGGGCGGATGTCTGCACAGGGGCAGCCAGCAGCAGGTGTCAGGGCCCCCCTGCAGAAACCTCCAGGCCCCTCTCGCCTTCTCTTCCCTGCCCAGCCAGCAGCAGGCCAGCCCCAGGCTGCAGCTGTGCAGGCCGGCTTCCTGTGCCACCCCACACACCCCGAGCTCAGCAGGGCTCAACTCCTGGTTGAGTTGAGCTGCCATCTTGAGATTCTTAGTGGTTTTTGACACCCTGTTCTGACTGCACAAACCACGTAAGGGGTCTGGCACCGACCACAGAAAGGGCAGGAGGCTGTGGGGTGGGCTGTGCCCTCGCCAGGGGCTCTGCCCACCCGCCTTCCTGCCCTCACCACCAGTGGCGTCAGCAACAATGCTCCCGAAGCCACCCTGAGCACTGGGCCACAGAACGAGCACCCTTCAGCTCACAACCAGAAACCCTTCCCTGACCCGGTCACAGAGGGGCCGCCACCCCGTCCCTGCACCCGGCACCCCTGGAGGAGGAGAGGGAGCTTCCCCAACAGCAGGCGGCCCCAGGTCAGAAAGGGGGGAGGCTTTCCCTGGGGCCTCCTCCGCAGGCTGTGTGGGGGCCTGATGCCCTGGCTGTGAATCCAGCTCCTCCTGCTATCAGCTGAGTGGCCAGAGACTCACAGTCACCCCCCGTCTCCCGGGTCCCTCAGATGGTGAACCTCTTTCCCTGCTCAGCTGAGAGGGTTCAATGAGATGATCCATCATCTTCTCCCACACAGGGCCTGACGCAGAGCAGGAGATCAAAAACACCTTTGTGCAATGATATTCAGAAGAGAAGGACCACAGCACTACCTAGAAGCTGCTCCGGAGTCTCCCAGGATTATGAATTCTAACACTGAACGCCAGAGCCTCACTCAGAGGAGCTGTGCCCACCCTGAAAATCAAAGGATGGAAATACTCTTCCCCACAAACGCCGTCCCCACATGCAGACAACAAAGAACAGAACCTGAAATCAGCCGTCCTGGGTGTGAGTGCCCTCTCTGCCAGCACCGAACGCAGCAAACCATCCTGTCAGGAGGGACTAACGTGACCTGCATCTTACAGATGAGTAAACCGAGGCATGAAGAACTTAAGGGATTTTCCCAAAGTCACAACAACCCCCAGGGTCTGCTGTGAAGACCACGTTAGAAGATGCGCATGGAAGCAGTGCCGGGAAAAGCCCACGGCCCGAGGCAGTGCACGTGCTGATCCAAGGTGACCGAGGACCACCCACTGCCCGCACCACCTTCCCCTAGCTCCGCGGCGCTCACTCCAGAGCGCTGGAGAAGACGAGGGCAATTGTCGACTTGCTCACATCTGCAAGCGCGTCGTCTCTCTCCCTGCCTCCTGTCCTCACCCTCCAGCCGCTCCCCGTCCCTTCCCAGCATGTACCCCACTGATGCCCCAGGTCCCGCCCAGTTTTCCATTTCCCTTTCGAGGATGCTGTAGCTGGATGGACGAGAGACTGGATTCCAGGGTGCACTCAGGACGGCCCCTTCTCCTCCCCACCCTGCTCCTTCCTCCCTTTCACTCAGCCTGCCTGCTCAGAGCAGGATAGACGTGCAGTCAACGCTGGGTAACTGCTACTAATCACAGGTGACAGCAAGAATGTAAACAACACAGGAAACATCCAAATGCAATCCAAGTGGCAAGGAAACACGGCTCGCTGGCTCCTTCTCTGGAGAACACGGCTTTCCTGCCACCCTCTTTCAGACACTCTGCCCATGAATGCCCGATGAACACGCACCCCAGAAACCAAGAGCTTCTGGAGAACGGGAGGACTGAACGCTGAACTGTAACGCTTCCTCTGGGAAGGACTTTCTCGAGTCATCCAATTTTCTATTTACAGCAATCATCTCGGTGTGTCCGTTTTGCGGTGGGGGGAGTGAGGTGGCAGAGATCAGACACCCCTTTGAGAACCCACTCAAAGCTAAGAAACCTCTCCCAGGATAACATAAAATATTTTGCATGTCATTTCAAGGGTTCTTAGACCCCAAGGTGAAACCCATTTTCTAAAACACGAACAAGACACTAAGCGCAGAAGACAACACGGGGAAGTGCAAACGTCTTCCAAACATTGGAGAGGCGAAAAAGGGCATTTCTAGGTCTGTACTCACTGCATAAGCCTAGGACATATGTACAATGTACTCACTGAATAAACCTAGGACCAGGCTTCTTTGTTCTTGTTTTCTTTCTTTTTTTTTTTGGCTGCTCTTTAGATCAACAATGTGCTTCTAAACCAGCTCCTTCAATACAAACTGAGAACTCAATTGACTAATTGCTATGAATAACTTCCACTTGGTTCGCTTAGAGCCGTGGGTCAGCAAGGACCAACAACATGTTGGGTGTGACTGCATCATTAAACGACAGTTCCCAAGCCCACAGGAAATGGGGTTTTAAGGGTTCGGTATCAACTCTAGGTACTGTCACAGCCCTCCATTAACAAAGACCTCCAACCGACATCACCTCCAACCGCCTGATTTTGGAACAGTCGCTGCGACTTTTGTCTGTGGGGCTGGGGGTAAGAAGAGGGGCCGGAGGGGCTGCTTCCTCTCATGGGGCTTCTTACCTCTGTGCCTGTTGGTCGTCTTATCAAACATCAGCATTGCATCCTCCACCTGCAGAGCAAACACAAAACAAGAGTCTGCTTCAGGAACTTTAACAAAATATGGGACACATTATATGTTCAGGGGAGGGGGGGCGGTTTCCAAATCATGTTGCTCATTAAAACGGCTTGAAAACACAAATATTAAAAGAGAAAATAAATCACTGTCTTTCTGTCTTTCCAACCTAGCACAGCCACATTTAGTATCTGGTGTTCTTCCCTCTAATTTTTGTAAAAATCTATGCCTATGGCTTCCCTGGTGGCTCAGTGGTAAAAAAAAAATCTGCCTACCAGTGCAGGAGATGTGAGTTCAGTCCCTGGGTCAGGAAGGTTCCTGGGGTCGCTAAGAGTCAGACATGACCAAGCACGAATGCACGCATGCCTATTTTAACACAGTTTAAAATCATATCACACATGGAATTTTCCCCTTGTTCTTTTTTATTTAGATAATATTACAACACTGCAAACATTTCCCAGATAACTACATCACGAATACTCTCTTTTATTCCCCCAGATTTTTGTGTGGTAATATACTCATAACATTAAAATTGCCATTGCAACCTTCTTTAAGTGTACAGTTCAGTGGTACCAAATAAATTCATAAAGTTGCAGAAGCATCACCACCATTCATCTCCAGAACGTTTTTCCTCTTGTAAAACTGAAACTCTACCCCCTTTAAGGGGGACCCCCTTCGTCCCCTCAGCCTATGGAAGCCACTTGCCCACTTTCTGTCTCCAAGACTGGGGCCCCTCTGAGTATTTCACATAAGTAGAATTACCCAGGGTTTGTCTTTTTTTGTGACTGGCTTATTTCACTTAGCATAATGTCCTCAAGGTTCATCCATCTTCCATTTAAGTATAGATCACATTTGCTTATCCACTAGCCCATCAATGAACACTTGGATTTTAGCTATTGTGAATAATGCTGCTATGAACATGGGTGTACAAATAACCCGAGTCTCTGCGTTCACTTCTTTTGGATACATACCCAGAAGTGAAACTGCTGGATCATTCAGTATGAAGAACTGCTGTACACAGTGGCTGTATAACTTTACATTCCAAACAAAAGTGCACAAAGGTTTTTTTTCTCTACATCCTTGCTAATACTTGCTATTTTCTGCCTTAAAAAAAAAAAACAAAAAACAGTAGCCATCCTAATGGGTGTGAGGTGTTATGAATACTAGCTTGACTGTCACGTATTTCCTGGAGAGAGATGCTATAGCTTAATTATCCTGGATGTTTCCAGTTATAAACAATGAAACTTCAACATTTTGATTGTTCTGGGCTGAACTGTCTCTATCCCCCACCCCTGCCAAATTCATATATTGAAATCCTAATGCCCAGATTCTGAGAAAGTGACTGCATTTGAAGACAGGATGTAAAGAGGTAACTAAGTGAAAATGGTCACCTGATGGTTAGTTAAAACAGTTCCAATGAGAGCTGACTCCTTAGAAAGGACCCTGATGCTGGGGAAGACTGAGGGCGGGAGGAGAAGGGGATGACAGAGGATGAGATGGTTGGATGGCATCATCGACTCAATGGACATGAGCTTGAGCAAGCTCTGGGAGGTCGTGATGGACAGGGAGGCCTGGCGTGCTGCAGTCCGTGGGGTCGGAGAGTCGGACACGACTGAGCGACTGAAGTTAAAATGCGGTCCTTAGGGGTGGTTCTGATTTGGCATGGCTGGGGTTCTCACAGAAGAGGAAGTCTTGACACAGGTACAAAGAGATCCACACTCACGTCCCACACAGGCCTAAAGAAACCACACGTATGCAACCAGATTTGGCTTTGAAGTCCACTCCTTTTACTTATGATCCAGCCCTTCATTTGCTTCACAGGAGACACATGGTGAGTGCAGGCGCTGCTCTAAAGCCATCAGCCGTCCACTTGCAGGCTGTGCCGGGTCTGGCCAGGCGTGCAGCCTGGTCACCCCAAGCATTCTGTGCCCAAGTCTGGCAGTGAAAATACAACGCAGAACTTCCCTGGTGGTCCAGCGGTTGGGAACCCGACACGGGTTTGACGCCTGGCCGGGGAAGATGCCACAGGGCAGCCAGGCCCTGGCGCCACAGCCTCTGAAGCCCAGGCGCCCGTGCTCCACAACAAGAGAAGCCAGCCCAAGGAGAAGGCCCACATGCTACACTTTCCGCTGCAACTAGAGAAAGCCCACGCGCAGCAAGCAAGACCCAGTGCAGCCAAAGACAAATGAAAATTAAAAACAATACAATCTAACCATGCGGTTGTGGGTGGACAGAACTGTTAGCCAGAAGGCTCCACGCTTGGAGCAGTTTCAGTGTGGGGGGGTGTGTGTGTGTGGCGGGGAGGTCCAAGCACCGTTCACTGGCGCTCAGAGGCTCACAAATGAGCTCGGGGGCCTGAGCTAAGTCAGCTGAGAGAAAGAATCATCGGCTATTCATTCTCACTCCTCCCAGATGACAGTCTTCAATGGAGGGGAAGACACTGGGCAAAGCCATAAAACCAGGTTTAAAATGGTGCCTCCCCACAAATCAAATCTATTTTCCTAGACGCTATCAAACATAACAGAGGGAAGAGCAAAGTCAAGGTAAGAATGGAAGAAGGGGTAGGCAGGCCAGACACAAACCTCCCAGGGACTGGCCTAGCATCAAAATCCCTTCTGGAGGCAGGGCCCCCTTGTGTTGCTAAGCAACCGAGCCTGAACTAACAGGCTCCCGGGGCCTTCCCCTTCTGCTCCCCATTTCCACAGTCGGCGACTGGGAGAGAGATGGCCCTGCACGGTGACTGCTCCTCTGGCAGGGAGCTGCCCTCTCTCCCCCAGGCGCCGGGCTGAGGGAAGCAGGCGATGCTAGTCTGGACGGGGGGTGCCTTCACCAGACCCTTCCCCGGCCAGGCAGCTTGATGAGCCCCCAGATACCTGCTGAGACCACACACACCACAGCAGTCTGCCTCCTGCGCATCCCTTGAGCGAGACCGCCAGAAGATCAACTGGTTTGTTTGTACACAGAGGTGTCACACTTGCACATATGGCATCGCAGACCCAGACCCTGGGCCTCGACGAGGATTCCACCGCCTGGGGTGCGGGCTGGGGCTGGGGCGACGGGTGAGGCCTGCCGGGTATCCTGCAGGTAAAACTGACATCTGTTTCACACCCATCACCATATTTTCTAAGAGGTTTGCCAAGTCCTTATTTTGAGCTGAAAATGCCTAATGGTAAGAAAAACAGTCTCCCTTCTGTGTTGGCCATGTTCGGGTACTGAAACTCAGATCCCCTTAGGAAATAAATATTTTGAATTAAAAAAAGTATTTTCAACCACCACCCATCCCCGCTGCCCTTTTCACAGTGTTTAAGTGGGTCCCTCTTTTCCTTCTTATGTTTCAGCATTTTCTGACGCTGCCCTCCTAACAGCTGCTCCACCCTGGTGAGTGAGGAGGAGGATCTGTGTATGTGTTTTGGGGGCAACCACTGTCGTAAAGAACAGAGCTCTTTCCTCTACAGACCGGTGTACAATGGGCCTCACAAAGACCTCCTGAACAGATAAAGCGACGGGGCGCAAGAAAAATTCTATTAACACTTTACAAAACAGAACATCTAAGGAGTAGCTAGAGAGAAAAGAGAAAGGGGGAAAAAAAATCAATATGAATAAGTCCCCGTGCTTGGGGGAAGAAAACTTTTCAGTGATTGCAAAACACTTATTAATTCAGAGAAGCCATCAATGTGATGGAGATCTGGCAGAACAGCAAGAGCTGAAACTGGAGGAATGTGAACATAAAACACTGAATAGAATGAGAAACACGGCCTCACATACGGGGCTGTTTCTCACGGTTCTATGTGGATCAAACAGAAGCGGCTTGTGTGAGTCTCCATCACACGAGGACGTGAGGGATACGGTCAAGGGAGCTGGTATTCAGCCCCAGAAACAGCAAACCAGTAACTCTGGCTGGCTGTCTCTCCTTCTCCCTCTCTCTCTCACACACAGAGGTAGCTGCCTGGCTGTGCCCAGTCCAGCCTGCAAGCCAGGCCTTGTTCACGGAGCTGGAAGAACACAGGGGAACTGGCGGGCAGGCAGACACAGGCATTTCTCTGACTTCAGGGAGAAAACACCACTATCCCTGGTGGAACACGGCTTCAAAGGCCCCCACCCTCCTGCTCACGGTCAGCACTAGTGTTGGTTTTGCGTGCCCTCACTGGTCTGTACAGATTTCTTTGTATATACCGGAGGTGGGGGCCCATAGGCCTAGGGGTCCCGTGGGTTCCTGGGGTGGGGGTCATGGGAGGTGGTGTCTGAACCTGAGCGTGTTTGTCCCATGTCCTGGCACCTGCCTGATCTGTCTGGGGAGAAGAAATGTGTTCCAACCTTGAGATCTGCCTTCCAATAACCACAGACAGGTATAAAACACAGCCCTGACATCCTCGATGGTGTATCGTTGCAAACGACAAAGCTGGGCCAGTAACTCTTAAGGGAGCTGCTTGGGGATGACCCTGTTGTCATCCGACACCAGGGGGTCATGGACCTGTAACCCTGACCCTCGCAGGGTTCAGAGGACCCTGTGACCGCCTCGGAGGCGCCCCATGCACGCCCTACCCCATCTGAGAGTCGGTTCTGGGGAGCCACACCGTCTCCATGGCACGGTGACTGCGCAGGGCGCCTCAAACCTCCTCCCCTTAGCATCACCCAGAGAACGGGTTAAAACAGACTCCCCTGGGCTTCAGCCCCAGGCTGTCGGGTTCAGGAAGTGGCGCCTGCGTTTCTAACAAGCGCCAGCTGCTGATCCCTGCGTGGACCCCACTGTCCAGGTGCTGCTCTAAGGGAGGAGAGACAGGAACAGGAGTTAAAGACACCGGACAGAGCGGCTTCTTCCTCTTGGCATACACTCCGGGCTCAAAACATGCGCCCAGTTTCTCTCACACAGGCCATCAAGGCATGTCAGCGCGGCAACCGTCATCCCGCTCTGTTCCCTGTCTCTCGGACATGTGTACGTCAAGATCCTGAAAATGACGGCCGCAGAGCCACGACGGAAAAGGACTCCAGCTGGTGGC